TTCAAACCAAACTTGTTTATCTTCCCTAAGTGTCCATGGTGATCATTTAGACAGTTCTCAGGATTGTGGAAGAAATCTGGGCATGAGGGCCGTGTCCAGCTTTTGTGCTTAGGGCTGCTCTCAGAAGGATTTTCATCTCTGCACATTAGGCAAATAGATCTCTGAGTGGTCCTCCCCTAAGCAGTGTCCCCTAAAGGCAAAATTGAGCTGTTCACCTGGAAGGAGGAAAAGGAGGGTTTTGTGAACACAGATGAGGATGAGGGGTGGGGGCTGTCCCACTCACTGTGATGCCCCCATGGGCCAGGTCTGGGCTACTCCTTCCTTATAAGAGCTGTTCCTCCCTTGTTCTAGCCTTTGGATCTGCCTAGGAACAGCCTCTTCATTCTTGGCTCTGACTCCCTGAGCACAGTGAGTGGTCCAGAAATAAGCACGATCAATCAAAATTCGTCCCTAGGATTTAGCCAACTGCATGTGGGGAAGATGGTCTCTCTGGTCTGAGGACTATGAGGTGTAAGAGACGCTGAAGAACTATAAAGTGTCCACTGTGGCCCTCCGTGTCCCTGTCCACTGTAGCTTGCACCCCCTCTTGCACATGACCTCAGCCCCTCACTGTTCCTTCCACTTCTCTTAGTAAAATCCAGATTGTCCAAACACGGCTGTTCATTAACCAGAATAATTGCTCCCTTCCCTGAGTACCACCCTTGAACAAATATTCTTGAAACTAGCTGAACTTCAGCTGACCCTGCCTGCTGAAGCCTTATACAAGATTCCACCTCCTTCTCAAGTTAGAACGCTCCTTCTCATGCCGACAGTTTTGAAAAAGACTTATGCTAATGGTGCTCTTGTTTTTTTCCACAGAGAATATGAGTAAGAGGTGCTGAGATGCTAGCAGCCAGACCACAACTGATGGAGAAGGCAGCCTGGGAGAGTGAAATTAACACGGGAACAGGTGCTGGAGAGGTGAGGGGGGGCGGGCCGCAGAGATGGAGGCAGAGACAGAGTGATATCCAATGGTGTTCAAGTTTCCATCCTGCTTCTTAAGCCTAGCACCATTATTACCATTTTTTTTTGTTATATAAGTGAACAAGTTAAAATGGTAGGATTTAAAAAAAAAAAAAAAGGAGAATCACAGCAGTCCTCAAATTTGCCTATACAAACATAAAATGCTTTTATAACTCTATACTGAAATCAACCCAAATCTAGAACCTCTATATCCAGGAATAAGGGTAAATATTATCTTATTTTTTCAAGTAGCTCATTCTACTAGTCACTTCTGGGTAAATACTCAGTCAAAAATTCAGGGTTCTCCCCTCACTCCTTGTCAACCCCACTTTTGATTTTTTTTTAAGTTTATCTTTTGAGAGAGAGAAAAAGGATGCAAGTGGATGTGGGGTGGGGCAGAGAGAGAGGGGGACAGAGGATCTGAAGCAGTCTTCACGCTGATAGCAGAGAGCCTAATGTGGGACTCAAACTCATTAACTGCAAGCTCATGACCTGAGCACAAGTTGGAAGCTTAACCAACTGAGCCACCCAGGTGCTCCTTGACCTCACTTTTGGGGATGAACTAAGTTGCTAGAAAACCAAGGTGTTAAAGGTAATTTTTAAAAATGTGATTCATACAAATATGAAATGAGTACGTGTCAAAGATTTTATTTTACTCATTCTTTAATGAGGAAACTAGTAAGAAATAAAAACTCGTTCTGAGGAGGGGCACCTGGGTGGCTCAGTCGGTTGAGTGTCCGACTTTGGTTCAGGTCATGATCTCACAGTTTGTGAGTTCGAGCCCCGTGTCGGACTCTGTGCTGACAGCTCGGAGCCTAGCCTGGAGCCTGCCTCTGATTCTGTGTCTCCCTCTCTCTCTGCCCCTCCTCTGCTCATGTTCTCTCTCTCTCTCTCTAAAAAATAAATAAACATTAAAAATAAATAAATAAATAAATAAATAAAAATAAAAAACTCGTTCTAAGGAGACTCCAAGGAAAACATATCTACAGGTAATCTGGAATATTGAATTGAATTTGCTGATAGAGGCAAAACTGGCCTCTTGCACTAAGTAGAAATCAATACATCCTCATTGGACAAAATTCATTTGCATTTCTTAGGTGGGAATTATTTGCATCTCTGTCAGCCTTTTACAAGTTAACTTCAGTTTCTACAGACTGGCAAAATAGTCAAGGGCAGTGAAAGACACAGACCCCTGTAGAATCAGATAATCCTGGAAGTTTCCAGAGATTTTGCCAAGAATTCCATCTGTACAACCTGATCCTCTACACAGGCTCTACTGACTGGCTTAAAAAGTGAACTTGAATAACTGAATTTCAGACATTTCCTGCCAAATGACACTATAAACTACTGCCAAACTAAAAATACTGTTTTCAGACAGTCCCCCAACCCAATTCGTGGGCATTGGAACAACATAATAGGCACTGGAATTTCTGGTTTTCCCCATGGATTGTAATTGTGGCAGGTTAGCCAGGCGCGTCGTCCGGGAAACCTTGTCACAAGCCTTTGGCTCCCCAACTTGAGATGGATGTGCAAATGGGCTGCTACTCAGAAGCTAGGGTTTCTGTAGGAAGGAATCGGTTTTGGATTTCAAAATCAGACAAACACATATCTGATTATGGACTTATAGCCCCAAGTAGGAAAGCCTGAAAATCATGGGGGGAAAAAAACCTGTAAAAACCAATACCCCTGTTATCTGGCCCCCACCTGCCTCTTGGACACATTGTACTTCTATCTGGATATTTCATCCTAACACTTTATATTAGGAAGCCTGATGTATCACTTTTGGTTCAGTAAAGATGAGAAATAAAAATATTCATGGGGTGGCTCAGTCCATTGAACATCTGATTTCGGCTCAGGTCATGATCTCACAGTTTGTGAGTTCAAGCCCTGCATGGGGTTGTGTGTGGACAGATCAGAGCCTGGAGCCTGCTTCTGATTCTGTTTCTCCCTCTCTCTCTGTCCTTCCCCCACTTGTGCTCTGTCTCTCTCTCTCCCTATCAAAAATAAACATTAAAAAATTTTTTAATTAAAAAATTAAAAAAAAAAAAAGGAAATAAAAATATTCATGATCTGGTGGGATTGCTCCTGAGAGCTCATGGTGGATGTATTTACTCGCAAACGGGAGATAAATTGGTCAAATGAGGAAAATTGAACATTACAAACAGGTGGAAGTTCAGCCTCCTAGATAGTTTCCCACTTCATAGCTGTGACAGAGGTGGAGACAGAAGCTGAGGGTCAGTGATTGCAAAGGCCAAGCCAAATGAAGTTTCACTACAGACCCAGGTGAAGGAGCATCAGATAAAATTCTAGATTACAGGTCTCCATACTGAGAGGAATTGTACACGTATGCCCCACTTAGTATGCTTTTCTCTTGTTCTGGGATGGCCCTCTGGGCTTAAATACCAAAGTTGGTATGGTACTCAGTAGCACACCAGTAGGTCCTTTCCATCATCCATTTCTTCATTAGTGTACATCCTAAACACATGCTGACTGTCATCTTGGTGTCCCTAAGTCCTCTAGTCTATGTAGTTGCTTATATATTTAATGTTGAAACAGAGGTGGCTTGAGTCTCTATCTTACACTGTGGAGAGTTCAGTGCCTTTCCCAAGATTTCTGCAAACCCCAAGCTGCAACCATTGCTGTGTTCACTCCTTGCCCAGACTTCCTGGTCCCACTAAACTCTCAGTCCACCTTACATTCCATTTCTGTGGTTCTTCTCTCCTCTACCGTATAAGGGAAAAACAGTACACGTTTCTCTGATTTTCTCATCAATGCCAAAAATTCATATGTAGCAAGGCATTTATCAAAGTTTAAGATAACCAGTACTTGCACGATGCCAAACAGCACAGCAGATGATTCAAGATAAAACATGCTTCTTCTTGGGGTGCCTGGTCAGCTCAGTCACTTAAGCATCCGACTCTTGATTTTGGCTCAGGTTATGATCACGGGGTGGTGAGATCAAGTCCTGCGTTGGGCTCCACGCTGGGCATGGGATTCTCTCTCCCTCCCTCTCTCTCTCTCTCTCTCTGTCTGCCCCTCCCCTGCTCATGCTCTCACTTTCTCTCAAAAAAAAAAAAATCCTCCTCTTAAAAAACCTGGGGGAAAAATAGATGCAGTAAATGTGGTGAAAAGTTGATAAAGTCTAAAACTAGATGGTTACATAGGGTTAATTATACCATTTTTGTGATTTTTATTTAAGCTATATAGTTTTCACAAGAGTTTAAAAAATACATTGATCACGAGATCATGAAGATATTTTGCTGTCTTTGTCAGTTAGGTAACAGACTGCCACGACAGTCTCCAAAACACAGGACTGATGAGGTACATGTTTGTTACACTCTTGCATAACAGTCTTGAGTCTACCCTCTTAACAAATTTTTCAGTGTATATTACAGTATTGTTAGCTACAGACACTATGTTGTACAGCAGAGCTCTAGAATTTATTCGTTTTGCATAACTGAAAGTTTATACCCCTTGAGCAACAACTCCCCATTTCCTCCTCCCTCCCACCCCTGGTGGTCACCATTCTACTTTGCTCCTATGTATTTGACTATTTTAGACTCTTTATATACTGGGATCATAGTGAGATATCACCTCCCAACTGTGAGGTTGGCTATTACCAAAACAAACAAACAAACAAACAAACAAAAAACAAACAAAAAAACCAAAACAAAAAAACCAAAAGACAAATGTTGGTGAGGATGTGGAGAAACTGGAATGCTTGTATGGTGTGTAATAGCCAACCTCACAGTTGGGAGGTGATATCTCACTATGATCCCAGTATATAAAGAGTCTAAAATAGTCAAATACATAGGAGCAAAGTAGAGGGGGGGCGGGGGGGGGGGGAGGGGAGGAATGTAAAACTGGTTACAGCTGTTATAGAAAACAGTATGGAAGCTCCTCAACAAAATTAAAAATAGAACTACCATATAATTCAGCAATCCCACTTTTCAGTATATATGCAAAAGAATTGGCATCAGGATCTCAAAGAGATATCTGCATTCTCATGTTTATTGCAGCATTATTTATAATAGCCAAAATACAGAAACTACCTAAGTGTCTGCTGATGGTTGAATGGATAAAGTAAATGTTTATATTGTTGATTTGCAAGCTCCCCAGGTGTAATCTGAAGTTGGCCCCCATAGTGAAGGGCAGGGAGAGAGGGAGAGGCAGGCCACTTCAGATTGGTAGGTGGCAGATTTAACAAGCACAGAAACTTACATACAAGGCTTGTCCTGGGCTGCAGCAAGGTAACTAAATTTCTGCACCCACCTACCAAATCCTTAAAGTTTATACAGAGGCTTAACTGGGTTCCGTCATATATACCATCCAGATGGTCTCAATAGCACAACATTATCACAAGGGTATGTCCTTGGGGAAGCCTCTGAGAGCAGGGAAGGCAAGCAGAACCCACGTTGTAAGAACCAGAGAGAGCTGCAAGAAGCCTCCAGTTGCCCAGGGCCGGTTCATGGGTCAACTGACAGTCACAGCCTCTTGATGACCTCCTCCAACATATGCATACAATGGCATATTATTCAGCCTTTTAGAAGAAGGAAACCCTATCATATGCAACAACCAAATCCAGGTTCATATGGTCAACCTGAAGGATTTCATGGTAAGTGAAATAAGCCAGTCACAGAAGGCAAGATAGGGTCTTTAACGAGGCAATCAAGTTAAAATGAGGTCATTAAAGTGGGTCCTAATTCAATATGACTGGTGTCCTTATAAGAAGAGGTAATTAGGACACAGGCATATGCAAAGGAAAGACCATGTGAAGACACAGGGAAAAGATGGTCATGTACGAGCCAATGAGAGGCCTCAGAAGAAGCCAAGCCTGCTGACACACTAATCTTGGACTTCGCCTCCAGAACTGTGAGAAAAGAAATTTCTGTTATTTAAATCCACCCGGTCTGTTTTACTTTGTTATGGCAGCCCGAGCAAAGTAAGACACCGCTCATTTTAATGTAGAACAGTTTTATTCTCCACTTCACTGCTCTGAACTCATGAAAGCCTCCCTTGGTAAATCCTTAACCTCATTAAGCCTCTTTTCTAAACAAAAGACCATTCTCTCAGGATATTTGCCCTTTAGTAGCACAGAGTACCCATAGAGGCTGAGAAATTAGTCTTTGCTCGAGTAAGATCAAACTCGTTGGCACATCAGTCTTCTTAAGTGGGAAGGGAGCAGGATAAAAGTCTATTCTTCCGTAATAAAGAATACACCACCTCTTAAGAAGCTGGAAGCACCTACGGCCAGATTTTCTTTTGTTTGCTTGAAATGGCAGTTTCCCCCTTCCCAGTTGGTTCACGTGCACTCACACAGCCGTTCACTTAACAGTGGGTTATTAAGAGCCTCCTGTGTGCAAGCCACTGTGTCAAAGATAAGCCCATGAAGTCTTGCTTAAAGGGCATCACAGAAATGAACAGTAGCTGAAGGTGGATGTGGAGTTAAGGGAACAGTTCTATTTTTCTTTCCTTTTCTTTTTAAAAAGAGCTCGGGAGATACACAGTGCTGACAGGAACATCTCAGTAGGAAGGGAGAGAAGGACAAAGGCAGGACCTTACAAGCTCCAGCAGGTGAGGGGCTGGGGTCCTCTTTGCATAACTGGTGAGTGCTGGGCCGGTCACCGTGGCAGGGAAGGAGCCACGTGTGAGTACTGGCACAGGTTCCTCAGGGGAATTGGGGCTGGGAGCACGCGAAAGTTCTCTTCAAAGTTTCTTAACGAATTAAGAATCTAAGAAGTTGTGAATGCATTGAGGGAGGGGCTATTTGACGTTGGAGGAGAGAGAAAAGTGTAAAATTGTCTCAGAGAGTGGGAGAGTACATTGATGACGGAAGCAGCTGTCAAATTTTAGGCCACCTCAGAATCACCTGTCCCTGTCTTTGGCATGTCTCTGGGATGGGGCCAGAGAATTGACATTTCTTCCCTCCTTCCTTCCTTCCTTCCTTCCTTCCTTCCTTCCTTCCTTCCTTCCTTTCTTTTTTTCTTTCTTTCTTTTCCTTCTTTCTTTCCTTCTTTCTTTCCTTCTTTCTCTTTTTCTTTCTTTCTCTTTCTTTTTTTCTTTCTCTCTCTCTCTCTCCCCCTCTCTCTCTTTCTTTTGATTTTTTTTTTTTCAGGAAGAGAATTTAGTGATTCATCGCTTACATATAACACCCAGTGCTCATCCCAACAAATGCCCTTCTTAAGGGCCCCTTTTAGCCCATCCCCCCACCCAACATCCTGCCAGCAACCCTCAGTCTGTTCTCTGTATTTAAGAGTCTCTTATGATATTTCTCCTTCTCTGTTTTTATCTTAGTTTTGCTTCCTTTCCCCTATGTTCATCTGTTTTGTTTCTTAAATTCCACAAATGAGTGAAATCATCTGATATTTGCCTTTCTCTGACTGATTTATTTTGCTTAGCATAATACACTCTAGCTCCATCCATATTGTTGCAAATGGCAAGATTTCATTCTGTTTGATGGCCGAGTAATATTCCGTTGTATAAGTTCAGGTGATACTGATGCTGCTAGCTCAGGGATTTCATTTTGAGAACCACTGGACTAGGACTAAACTCTAGTTCTTGCACAGACATATTTACTACACAGGGGCATTTGGGTAGAGGGCTGTGCAGAAAAATTCTTAGAATTCCAGCAACAGAAGAGAGTTCCAAATGGGGATCCAAAGTGACTCTGTTGCCAGCACTGATAAAATCGATGGAGAGAAAGGAAGATGATATTAACACGCACAGAGAAAGGGAGCTAACCTACTTCTTCTGAAAAGTTTGAGAAACAGATTACAAAATGACTCCAGCAGCCAAGCACACAAGGAAGGTCCTTTCACAAACAATGGTCATTTAAGATCTTAGAAAGTCCTATAAGATGGTGTCCACCGTAGTGGGTGGAGAGATATGGAAGATAAAGACTGCCCAAAGGAGCATCCTGCCCATTCAGCCATGAGAGTAAAATGAATGATCAGATATTATATTTGGGGATTCAAGCAATTTTGGCTTCCATCTGGAAATGTTGACTTGATGGTTGTTACATGATAGTTCCAAAAGTTGGTTGATTTCTTCTCCAGATGATTTTGGTAATGGTGTCTATTCCACAGTTCACATATTTTCAGAAGATCTGGAAAAGAGGAAATAAGCAAACGACAGTCATATTCCAGGTAGTAAATGGCAGGGGAATTGGTGAAACCAATGTCCAGAAACCAGAATAATATCAGTTTTTTCCTTCCTTTCAGACTTGATCTTAAGATGCTCTCAATGCGTCTACTTCCCCAAGTTGCCTCTTCAGACTTTAGCATCCTCTACTTGGCTATTTTTTTTTAACTCATTTATTGCTTAATTTACACCCAAGTTAGTTAGCATATGGTGCAAATTTGATTTCAGGAGTAGATTCCTTAAAGCCTCTTACCCATTTAGGCCAACCCCTGTCCCACAACCCCTCCAGTAACCCTCTGTTTGTTCTCTATATTTAAGAGTCTCTTATGTTTTGTCCCCCTCCCTGTTTTTATATTATTTTTGCTTCCCTTCCCTTGTGTTCATCTGTTTTATATCTTAAAGTCCTCATATGAATGAAGTCATATGATATTTGTCTTTCTCTGACTGACTAATTTTGCTTAGCATAATACTCTCCAGTTCCACCCATGTAGTTGCAAATGGCAAGATTTCATTCTTTTGGATTGCCAAGTAATACTCCAGTGTATATACATACCACATCTTCTTTATCCATTCATCCGTCGATGGACATTTGGGCTCTTTCCATACTTTGGCTATTGTCAATAGCGCTGCTGTAAACATTGGGGTGCATGTGCTCCTTCAAAACAGCACACCTGTTTTATTTATCCCTTGGATAAATACCTAGTAGTGCAATTGCTGGGTCGTAGGGTAATCCTATTTTCAATTTTTTGAGGAACCTCCATACTGTTTTCCAGAGTGGCTGCACCAGCTTGCATTCCCACCAACAATGCAAAAGAGATCCTCTTTCTCTGCATCCTCACCTACATCTGTTGTTGCCCGAGTTGTTAATGTAAGCCATTCTGACAGGTGTAAGGTGGTATCTTATTGTGGTTTTGATTTGTATTTCCCTGATGATGAGTGATGTTGAGCGTTTTTTCACATGTCAGTTGGCCCTCTGGATGTCTTCTTTGAAGAAGTGTCTATTCATGTCTTTTGCCCATGTCTTCACTGGATTATTTGTTTTTTGGGTGTTGAGTTTGAAAAGTTCTTTATAGATTTTGGATACCAAGCCTTTATCTGATATGTCATTTGCAAATATCTTCTCCCATCCCGTCGGTTGCCTTTTAGTTTTGCTGATTGTTTCGTTCTCTGTGCAGAAGCTTTTATTTGATGAAGTCCCAATAGTTCATTTTTGCTTTTGCTTCCCTTGCCTCCAGAGACATGTTGAGTAAGAAGTTGCTGCAGCTGAGGTCAACAGGCTTTTGCCTGCTTTCTCCTCTAGGAGTTTGATGGCTTCCTCTGTTACATTTAGGTTTTTCATCCATTTTGAGTTTCTTTCTGTGTATGGTGTAAAAAAGTGGCCCAGGTCCATTTTTCTGCATGTTGCTGTCCAGTTTTCCCAGCACCATTTGCTGAAGAGACTGTCTTTATTCCATTGGGCCTTCTTTCCTGCTTTGTCAAAGATTAGTTGGCCCTACGTTTGTGGGTCCATTTCTGGGTTCTCTATTCTGTTCCATTGATCTGAGTGTCTGTTCTTGTGCCAGTACCATACTGTCTTGATGATTACAGCTTTGTAATATGTCTTGAAGTCTGGGAGTGTGATTCTTCAGCTTTGGTTTTCTTTTTCAAGATTGCTTTGGCTATTCAGGATCTTTTCTGGTTCCATACAAATTTTAGGAATATTTGTTCTAGCTCTGTGAAGAATGCAGGTGTTCTTTTGATAGGTATTGCATTGAATACGTAGATTGCTTTGGGTAGTATCAACATTTTAACAATGACTTCTAGAACTGATCCATTAATTCAGCAAAGTCACAGGATATAAAATCAGTGCCCAGAAATTGTTTGCATTCTTATACACCAATAATGAAACAACAGAAAGAGAAATCAAGGAATCGATCCTATTTACAATTGCACCAAAAACCATAAAATACCTAGGAATAAACATAATCAAAGAGGTGAAATATCTATACACTGAAAACTATAGAAAGCTCATGAAAGAAATTGAAGAAGACACACACAAAAAAATGGAAAAATATTCCTCTACTTGGCTATTCTGGAGGTCATGTTGCTAATCTCTTCAGGCATGCCCAGTCTCAAGTTCATCTCTGACCTCTCCACTCTAACTGATCACTACACTACTATCCATCTCTGGCCCAGTTTTGCATTAAGGGCTCACACCATCACCAATCAGTACAGGGCAGTGTGGAGCAATTCTCACCTCCATATTTTTATTCATATATTCATTCACTTATCCATTCACTTAAACATTGAGTGCTGGGGTGCCTGGGTGGCTCAGTCGGTTAAGCATCCGACTTCAGCTCAGGTCATGATCTCACAGTCTGTGGGTTCAAGCTCCGTGTTGGGCTCTGTGCTGACAGCTCAGAGCCTGGAGCCTGCTTCAGATTCTGTCTCCTTCTTTCTCTGCCCCTCCCCTGCTCATGCTCTGTCTCTCTCTTTCTCAAAAATAAATAAACATTAAAAAAATTAAAAAAAAAAAAAAAAAGAACATTGAATGCCTACTGTGGATCAAGAACCAGAGGCCATAGTAGGATCCTAGAGCCTGGGGGTTGAGAGATGAATATGACACAGGTTCTGCTGTTGAGCAGTTCACAGCATAGTTAGGGGAGATAGACACATTAACAAGTAATTGCCACGTCATGTAATGCACCAGTGGAATTATGCACACTGTATTATGGTACAATGGAGTAAGGAGTAAATAGCTGCACTTGGAGGAGAACACAGAGACTTCTCAGGGGAGGTAACAGTCGATCTGTGTCCTACAGAAGTTTTCTACTCCAAGGAAAAGATAAGGGCATTTCATACACAGAGAATGGGGAGGACTTGAAGACCCAAAGGAGTATGACATATTTTGGAGATGGCAGTTGGTCTGACAAGACAAAATAGGCAGTTTTGTGTTGTGCTTAATTGTGCAGGATCCAAAGCCAAACTATATGGGTACAAATTTGGCTCTTACTCCCTGTGTGATTTTAGACAAGTTATTTAACCTCTCTGTGCCTCTGTTTTCCTACATGTAAAATGTGGATAAAAACAGATTCTATCTGATAGGAGTAATTTGGAGATTTAATGCATTAACACATGTCACCTTTAGAATAATGCTTTGTATATTGTAAGTGCACAGAAAATGTTATTGTTGCAGACATCTCTGGATATTGCCATCATCACCACCATCATCATCATCGCCACCACCACCACCACCATCATCATCATCATCCCAGCTTTGCCTTTTTTTTATCCTTAAATCTAACTCATCATTAAATCATCTCTGTTCTACCCTGTATTCTAAATATTTCTTAAATCCATATTCTCATCACTGTCTCTATTACTGTTATGTTACTTTAAGCTCTCATTGTCTCTTCTAATACTTGGAAAGTATGATACTTGAAGAGGTTTAGCTC